TCTCAGCTATAGCTGCTTAGCAGAGAAGTCCCTGAGCACTCACTCCTTGCAAATTACAATTTCTGATGGTCAGCCATTTCAGCCTTCCAGACCCCTAATCTCAGTTGCTGAGATAGAACACCGTCCTGAAGGCCAGCTGATCCTGTATTATTTAAATCCTTTACTAATGAGGGCCAGATTTTCAGCTGCTGTGAACTGAGACAATTTCACTAAACTCACTCAAACCAGGTAAACTTAAACCAGCTGATGGTCTGGTTTAACCAATATAACTTCTGAGTGCATTTACTGAATAATGAAAAAGAAAGAAGAGGTACTTTGTTCCTGGGGATATTTGGTTTGTATTTCTGGGTTTTGTGTTGGCTTTTTCTTGGGGTATTTTTCTTTTTTTTTTTTTGGAAAGGAGGAGTGAGGTGAGAGGAATTGTTTTTTTGGCCTGTTCAGGAGTTGCAGAGCTGAAGCTGGGAAGCAATGCAAAAGAACACTTTAATAAGTAGAGAGTGCCAAATGAAACACTGGCTTTTCTTCTGTGGATGGAGAAAGCTAAATACAATATTCATGTTACCTCAGTTTCTTCCATCGCTCCAGAAAAAAACATTGCCAAGACAAAATAACCCCCTCTGCTATTGCATAAACTCTTCATGTGCAGTTATTTGTACTAGCCAAACAGAAAGAAATTAATCCCATTTTGAGCACTGAATGTGTGGCCAAGGATTTCATTATATTGTTACCATTTGGGGCAAATATGCAGGAAGAAAATAAAACTGTGCCAGGATTTCAGACTGAAATGTACATTTAAAACTTAGCTTGTGACTTCCTAGTGCCATTGTGAGGGTTTTTTTTCTGATGTTTCACCCTGGAGGTATCATGTTGTGAGTTCAGCAGGCAAGATGTTGCCATGATATATACCTCATCAGATCAAAGGCATTGCACGGAGTGCCAGGGACGGATATGATTCTTTGGACTAATTTTATTATTGTAACTCCAATGTCTTCAGGGTGTTACACCAATGATGAATTTGGCTCATCATACACCAAATGAAGCTTAACATCTTTTGTTCCAAGCCTTCCTTTCTATCTACCTCCTCTGCTACCACCTGCTATTACTCTTTGGGTATGTTTACACCACATATTGCAAACAGCCATGAGCAAGCTCTGCCCACGCTCCAATCTGACAGAAGCCATGTGATTGCATTGGCACCAAGCCTGAGCTAATAATCCCTCCTGAGAAGGATTTTTTCAGTGAATAGCATGGGCAGGATGAGTGTACATCTACCCATACGGTATCAACATGCCCAAAGAGTAATCTATGCTGGGAATCTCTCTACAGGTCTGGAATCTTCTCCTTTCTTCTTGATTTTCACACGCAGACTTTTTCCCATGCCCTGTAAAGAGAGCTTGTACCTGCATTGATAATCCCCACAGTCAGCAAAATGCTCCTGAGTGGTACAGAGAATTGCTGTTTTCATAACAATCATTTGTTGGTACAGAGCGCTTCAGAAGTGTTCAATCCTAGATACCCAGCTTTCTTCTCTACCAGTTCAAACAAGTTTTTCACCCAAAGAGTAGACAAAACTATCCTATAATTCAAATCATGCCACACCTTCCCGCTCTTTCTTTCTACTGTTCCACTACTTTCCTTTGTCTTCTGCATCAACATCACTATGGTTTGTTGACGGTACCATTCCTGCATGTGGCTCATCACCTTTCTTTGCAGTAATACCGATTATATTCCCTGGGTTCTTACTTGGAAGCTTCATCTTTTGCTTTCGAAGACCTAACAGAGCATTCTCACGGGGTCTTGCTGTTCCACCATATCCTTGACCTGCACCAGGGTGAAGACAAACCTATAAATATTGCCGTGACTGCAATGGTAAATAAACTGGGCCTCCACACCAGGAAGGGAACAGTGAGATCCAAGGCCTTGTGGTGTCTGTGAGGAAGTATCACATATTTTTCACCTCTTGACATGTATTTTCTCTCATGTAGGGAGACGCTGGGGCTTTAATATCATATTTTCAAACAATTTAAAGCTACCTAAACTTAGTGGTTTTTACTTTACTTTTGTTACCAGTTTAAATAAATGACCACACACCAAGATAAGCCACGTAGCTATCCACTCCATGATGGTTTTCTACAAAATTTTCAGTCACGCGCTCTTCTACTCAGACACTTTGGGTGGCTCAGCAGGTACACAGAGGCAGAATCAGGGCATGCTTGTGGTTTCAGTACACTCAGTTATAAACTCAGGCTGTGGCTGAGCATTTACATTCCTATTTCTCTGCATGTGCTCAGTGAGGATGGAGGCCCCTTGCTCAGTAATATGAAGCTCCCTCCTCCACCCCAAATACAGGGTAGAACCAGGAACAGTCTCAGAGCAAGAGGTACTAACTTTAACATCAATTATTTGCATACCTACACAATATTTTTGTGTTAATGGAAGCTGAACAAGAAGCCATCACTGTTTTTCCAGACGCTTTACTAAAAGCTTTGCAAAAATTTAACCCATAAAGAAAAGATCCCCAGTTAAACATAAGAAGCAAAGGAACGTGGCTGAAGAAAGAAGAGACAAGTAAACAGTATGGAAGCACATCAAGAAGATAAAAATAAGGTAAACACCTTACCTTCCTCAAAATCAGCAATGAAAATACTCTGAAAATTAACATTATGTGTGTGCGTCCTCATGGCCACATTTACTATCCTTGTCAACACCTTCCACAACACTAAAAGGTTTTAAGTTCAGAAGATACAGTATCACTTCATCTTTCTTCAAAACTGAGGCTGCTAATGAAAGACCTTGTAAAAGTTATGCGGAGTTTGTATTGGCAAAGGATTATAGAGATACTTTTCCAGAGCTTAGCAGTAGCTCATGAATTGTCCATTGATGCAGGGAAAGGGAGACAGGGAATCCAAATATCACTATACACTCTGCAACTTCTTTTTTTTTTTTTTTTTTTTTTTTCCAGGGGCTGCTGTTTCAAGTGAACAGCTCTACTTCACAGTGATAAAGGAAAATGATTTAAAAGCCACTTGATCTGCGTTGTCTCCATTCAAAAAGAATCTAACCTGATTTATTGTTCCTCAAATGGCTGAAACACTACTCTGCTTAATGTCATTAAAAACCTGATATCGGCACCCAGCCCTAATAAAAGTATTGGGAACATGGTAGTAACCTACCCATAGAGGGAAAATGAAGCTGTCATTTTTCAATATAATTAAACCCGGTTTCAAAAATCCAAAGGTCTGTAATATGAATTACACTAATTACTTCTTGTGGTTTAAACATTGATTTCAATGTTAAATTTAATGGACTTAATGGATGTTGCTTTTCCCATCAGACTGGTGGCCGATGTTTTGTCTTGTTTCTTGACCACTTATAGATTTCTGTTGACCCTTTAAACATATTACAATCGGCAGCCTGCTCATTCTTCGTGCATGAGAGTACTACTATTACTTTCCATGGATAATCCCAGCTTCCGTGTAACCTGTCTCTTGGAGTTATTTTTGGCAGCCAAAAGCATATGTAGTCCAGGAAATAGAAAAGGAGATCATTGGACTAAATTTTCAGAAATGTGCAGGCAATTAATTTTGCCTGGGCAGTATGTGAAATCCAAACAAACATTAGGAAATAGAAAAACGTGCAAAAATTCACAAGCCAACAGTGCTGCTGTTTGCTGCACACCAGTCTCTTTCCTGCATTTATTCATTGCTGCGCAGGGTCAAAACACAGAAGCAAGGATGCTGAGCCTAGTTCTGAACTCCAACTGGTGTAAATCAGAAGCTGTTGGAATTACACCAATGAAAAAAACTTTGGGGACTGGAATCAGGTTCCATCTTGAACTTTCTGCTTATCTGGAAAAAACCAAAAGCAGTGCTCAGGTTGAACAAATAAATGCATTACAAACAATGAACTGTGGGCTTACTGTTGACTTAATGACAGAACCCCCATGGATTTCAAGGAGAGTCAGATGAGATACACTTCATGTGTGATTTATGGGAGAAAAGGTCCATCTCTGCATTTGGACTCACACCGAAAAGGCACCCTCTGAGGGTAATGGCTGATAATGCTTTGATTCTCTTCAGGAGTTAAAATCAGTCGATGCTGTGTCCAGGCTAGACAATGTGACTTGTTCCACTGTTAAGAACACAAAGAAAGCCCATGTTCTTCAGATCACAGAGTGTGCCTCCATATCAGTTTGCAAAGAACTACTTGGGAGAAGACGTCTAATCCCAAAGGTCCAGGTGAAAACAGTGAGGAATGCTGTTTGCTTCATATTCTGGGAAAAAAAGGCCATTTACAAATAAGTACATGCATAAAGAACTTAGGAGAGGATTTGTAAAGTACCTTGTGTAGAAAATCCTGTTCTCCTAATATATCACAGTTGCTGAAGGCATCCTAGGCTAAGGCTAAAACAACAGCAGAATGCCTGTTTTCCCACCAGACTGTTTTTACATTTGTTGTCCAGAGACAAGGGAACATTGATACCAAAAAAGAATCAATACCTTGAGGTATCTGTACCATTTATTTTTTTGCAGCAGAAATGCTAGATGCTAGATAAAAGACAGTTGGTAAGAATGGAAGAGAAGCCTACAGATATTTATTAATCCAGTCTATGAGGAAGCCTACAACTGCAGCTAAGTCAAGTGGAAGAGTTTGCTATGACCACAGAATTGCCAGTTGTGGCTCAGGACAACAGAATTATTATATATTTATCCATGGCAGGATTGTTACAGTGGCGATGCCAAGGAGGAATTATCATTCAGCAAAGTAGTTTTCCTCTTTTTCTCTGTTTGTGGTATGTTCCCGAACAAAGTTGCACTGCTGTATTTGTCACTGGCTGTGCCTGAAACCGTAACTGGTATGACTTTTGAAAGAATAACATTATCACAGAGGAATTCTGCCAGCACCCAAATGACTGTTTCTGTCCAGGGACTAAAACATCTGTGCATAAGTAAAATACATATATATTATCCAAATGTGGATTGAAAGATTTAACAGAGTCAAAACACACAGATCTGGGAAAATCTTGTTATGTTTAGGGCCAAGTAATCAGCATGTATAAACTAGAATAATTTCAGTGACACCAGTGAAGCTCTGTTGATTCACATCAGCTCAGGAGCCTCATCTCATTAGTGTGTTTTTCTTTCAGTATGGGAGTTCGCTTTGCCTGGAATTAAAGGGTATATCATAATCCTCAAAGAAAAGGGAGAAGGTTTTGGAAAGGTGATTTAAATCTTTCAATTTAGGAATTCAAGCCAAATTAGAACACACTGTGGATTTCTGAACTGGATCCTACTCAATAGGGAAAACTTTTCGAGAAATTTAGGGAAGTTTAGAAAAACTTAAAGGCCTTTGGACTGAACTGCCAGTACTGGCCTCCCTAGCCAGTGTCTAATGAGAGGTGAGAGAGCATGACCCATTAGGTCTCAGATTTTGACCAAATGGAGAGTTTTGGTGCATGCGTACTGGCATGTTCAGCTCCTGTGTAAACTTGGAAGTTTTATGATCACATAAAGCCTTTTTATAGCTAGAAGATATTTGAGTTCATAACGTGTGCCTTTCCAGACTAGGCAATAATGGCATTCTTGATTATTTTATATCTTAAGATCAAGCTGCAGAGGTGACAGATTAATAAATACTTCTCCCTCCAAAGGTAACTTTGTAAGAAAAATAATTAAGCAATGGAAGAAGTTGCACAAAATGGCTCTCCAGTCACCATTAATGGTCACAGTTCAAAGTCAAACATATCTAGGCATCAAAACTCACATCTGTTTTGACACTGGATGATGAAGATATGCTGGTCTCATTACTCACTCAACTTTCCTCCTTTCTAGCAAATACTGACTACAGACACCATATTACTTTTTAGAACTATTCAGCTATTTTTTCTAAGCAGACTTTATCCTTTCTCTACCTCACCTCTGAGCTATACATTTTAACCAGCCCATGGACTTGCCTCGGGCCTTGTCTGTGGGAAGATGGCAGCCCCTCGTTCCTGCAGGGTCTCACTGCTCAGGGCAGCAGTGCAGATGCTCATCACCATCTCTCCATGGGCGTATGCAATTTCCATATTACTTCTTCCCCACATTGAATACTACACTAAAGTGGAGACAGGTGCCGCAGGGAGAGATGTTCAAGCATTTACTTTAACCTGCCACTGAAGTAAAATACATCCTATGGAATGCTACTGGCTCTGAGAGTGCTTTGGACGACAGAAATTTTGTGTGCTTGTAACTAAGGAGTACAGTGCAAGCAGCTGAGCTGGGGACCAGGAGCTCTGGAATGCTGCAGCAGGACTCCTAGTCCTGTCATTAACCCAGGAACTACTTGGAGTCAGAGCTGTGCCACTTTCTCACTTTCGCCTTACTAAAATGAAGTAACTAATACCATGTTTTCTCATCTCCTTGGGCATGAGGGAGGACAGATTCTTTAAAATAATGATTTTAATTCACAGTACTTAAAAATAGGCTCTTAACTCTATATGCTGGCATCTAAATAAAAGCAGCCTGACTTTGAGAGGTGCTAAGCATTTGCACCTCCTAGCAATGTGTACACGAGCTGTTTTAAAGATCTCCAAAGATACAGATTTTCTTCCCTGCCAATACCATTTCTCTCTCCTTCAATATAATTTTACAGGCCATCCATTTTGACATTACATCAAATTAACACTAAAAACACACCTACCACTTTGGATAGAGATTTTAAGAACCCACTCCTCACAAAGCACAAGGCAGGGTGCCTATTTTGTGTTACAGACAAGTTCACATTTAACTTCGAACATGTGCATAAGTCATGGAGAATTCATTTTGACTTCTGTGTTGTCCTGAACAATGACATTTTCCTGAATCAGGGACAAAGAAAGTCATTGGAAAAGCAGTGACAGCAGAATAGATCATGTAATATGCAGCTTAGCAGGGGCATCTGTTTCTCTAAATGAGAGACCCCAACAGAAAAATAATAACCAAGAAGAAAATTTGTTCAGTAAGATTTGAAAAAAAAACAAACAGAAAAATTTCCCCCAGCTCCTCTGGAAGAATTAGCCTATGGAGTCAGAAATGCTCAAGAAAAGGGAGAGTGCATTGCTCTGAACTTATCTGAGCTTTTATATCTCTTCCATTAGGTAATTTTCAAGTAATGTTGATTTAGCAGTTTCACTTTCATTCAGAGGAGGCTAAACAATGTTCGATGTTAAAGTCTTCCTTTCAGGTTTGCTTTACAATTCACTATTGCTCTTTCTACTCCTAAGCCTGTGCTCCAATATATAGCCAGTTATATATTCCTTATTAAAAATGTACAATGTTTCAGAAAATTGAAATAGTTTTCAAAATTGTCCCCCACTGGTAATTCTGCATTTGATTGTCAAAAATGTTAATCTTTTCTCAGGCCTGAAATTATGAGCCAGCTTTATTGGTCAAAGGCCATAATAATTTGAGCTCTTATTTTATAAACTCATTTCTGCCGAGTGATATCCTGATAGGAGCAAGAATAATAAATCACAAACATGTCCCCCAAGATTGCATTGTAAATGTCAAACTAGACAGGAAATTGTAATTAAAGAAAGGAAATTGCTACAAAGAAGCACTTGATTTTAAAATGAGCTAAGCACAGAATTTTCTAAGCATTTAATTATAGACCAATTTCAACTGACTGCTTTGCTTTTGCAGTCATATTTCTTATTATAACTCTTCTACATAATAACCAAATCTCCGCGCTTACACTGGTCAGGAGTATTACTACATAACACTGCATGAGCATGAGGATTACTAACTTTACAGAAACTATTATCACATTTTAGTATGATGGACAGCAATATCAAAATTTCAAATCAGTGACAATCTGATTTTAACTCAGCAACCAAGTGGATATCTTTTCGTAACGGCAACTGCACCTCTTGGCACCTCACTCTTAAACAAGCAGCAGGACCAGTTCTGAAACACCTGGACTGACAAACGCCTGGATGAGTGAATAATGTGGTCAGGGACAGACACTCTGCCATCACAAAAAATCCCTGTTACCCATGAAGGCTGCTGCAGTTCCTATCAATCCAGACAAAGCCTTTCAGTGCCATAGAAAAGAGTGCTATTCACTTCCTCTCCAACACACGTAAGTCAGAAAAGAAAGGATTTAGGGAAGAAAACAATATGTTCTAGTAACACCAGACTAGCAAACCACTTAAATATACGGGTTGTTGTGTGTTAAGCAACTCAGGACAGCCTTTTGGAGCCCTAAAGTCTTTGGTTTTTACTGATCTGGTTCAAGAAAATTAGCAGGCCTTCAAAACCCCTCTTCCCATCTTCTCAGCCAGATTCGGGAGTAAGTCCTCAGTTGCCCAACCATCTTTTTTTACTTCTTGTCAATACCACAGTGGTGTACGTGGTAAGACTGGAGTGCACAGTTCTCTTTTTCTTTAGCATAGCCTAAAACTTTACTGGAAGTAAAACATACCGTATACTACCACACTGTATCTTTTTTGATTTGAAAAGACAGATATGCAGAAAAACTTTTCTACAAGACTGAAGCTGGAGAAAATCCTGTTACACTGAATCCTCATTAGGACCTAGCAAAATTCACTGAATACTTGACACTGCATATTTCCAACTAGTAAGGAATAAATCAAGATGCAGATGTGATCATTTGCACCCATAAGCTGACTGCAATGGAAATATTATGCTGCTCCAGGCGCAAGATGGAATTGGATAAAGCCTAGTCAACTGGCAGATACTTACCAACCAAGGAATTTACTTGTTGCCTTGTGAATCAATATAGTGACCTAAAATTTAACTACTCAAACATTTAGGACAACAAGGTTAATAGAAGCATTATGATCTTTTACTTTCCTAGGGAAGAAAAACCATTATAGTGGATGAAAACAGTGTCACAACAGAAGAGGCATTTTCTTCAAAGTGCAGATATGTAATTGTAATGTAATGTAGTCACTATTTGGCACAGTGTCTAAAGACCTCTTAAGCAGAATGGGGTTACATTTTTAAGTATAACATGCAAAGGAACACAATCTAATATGTGCATCTGATAACAGATGTCCTGTAGTCCAGCACAGTTTACTTGCAGATTCCTTCAGTAACCAGAGTTCAGGTGAAATGCGTGGACACAGAGAAATTGGTAATCTCAAGGGCAAAAAATGCACTAATTTGATTGGAAAGAGGTGTGATTGGAAAGCACGTGTGAATAGGTAAGTGCTAAAAGAACAGGAAAAAAGTAAGAGGAACAGGGAAATGAAGAGTAAGTCACTTGTGGGAATTCTACGTGGACAGGGATATAGATGGAGACCACCAGAGTCCCATAAGGAAGCAGAACCTTTGAAGAAAGGATTTCACCAAGAGATGGAAAACCAGGCACGGAGCCCAAAAGGAAGAACGAAGCAGTGGATGTAAGGAAAGAAAAAAGATAACAGGTCATGTTCTTTGGTAAGGTCTGTAGCAAAAAGGCCGTATTTGCCACTGTGGCAGCCAGCAGAGCACATGGCTGGGTCAGCATGAATGACAGATTTGTGACTGAACAAAACCACTATTTGCTGGAGTTGGTACACTGCTTGTTTGCTGAATCTGAATTTTGGTATAACACATTGAACAAGAACAAATCGATACAGATGACATAAAACTTACTTTTTGGGTCATAAATATGCATCTATTTCTATTGAGCATGATGTGAAATAACAGCGACTGCAGAGGAGCTGAGGAAAAGGAGGATGGAGATGATGCTGTGATGGAATAAACAGCACAGAAAATAATCATGTCTAATAAAACATGCTCTTACCAGTGCACCTGGAGAATTCGCCTGCTTTACACAGCATTTTCCTCATTATTTCCTATTTCTGTTTTCCTTCATGGTTATGGCTTTGCCACAGAAGTGGCATTACTAATACTCAGCTTAAATTCTCTCAAGTTAGTTTCAAACCCAGAAGAGAGTGGCAATTTTTGCAAAATCATAAATTAAGCTTCTCAGAATGACTGAATTACCTTGTAGAGCATTTTATTACTAGCAGAGAAGCTGCTCG